CAAGCCAAAGGAGACAGAACTAGCAGCAGAAGAAAAACACAAAAAAGACCCGAAAAAAGCAGCAGACAGCACAAAGACGACACAAAGACAACAGTATTAAAAAAAAAAAAGAAAAAAAAAAAAAAAAAAAAAAAAAAAAAAAAAAAAAAAAAAAAAAAAAAAAAAAAAAAAAAAAAAAAAAATCAGGAGAGCAACAAGAAGCAGCAGAAGAAAAAGGAGATATAGAATAGAGGAGACAGCCAGCAACAGAAACAAAAAAACAAAAAAAAAAAATAAATTTATAAGCATCATCACCCGCTGAGCTGAAAGAGAGGGGGCTGTTGAGTCGCGGGCATTAGGAAGCAAGTCGTCTTCATGGACCCTCCGCCGTATCTCTGCACACAAACCCTAAACCCTAAACCCTAAACCCTAAACCCTAAACCCTAGACCCTGGGTCTACGGCAAAGGCCTGCTCAGTCCTTCATGCTGAAGGGCCCTCGCTCTCGGGGCCCGCCCAATACAGGGGGCAGAGAGAAGGGGGGGGTGTGGGGTTTCTTGTTTTGTCTCTGCAGTTTGTCTCTGTTGTTTATCTCTGCTGTTTCTCTCTGTCTCTTTCTCTGTTGTTTATATTTATCTATATGTTATTTATATTCATCTTCTCTTGTTCTTCTTGCCTTCTAGATATGCCTTGTGCTGCTGTCTCCGTGTGTTGTATGTCTCTGCTGTCTCTCTGTTGTCTCCCTCCGTTCTCTCTCTCTCTCTTCTCTCTCTCTCCCTCTCTCTCTCTCTCTCTCTCTCTCTCTCTCTCTCTCTCTCTGTGTGTGTGTGTGTGTGTGTGTGTGTGTGTGTGTGTGTGTGTGTGGTTACATCTATATATTACATCTATGAGTATTAAGTTATTTTTCTTACCTTCTAGATACGCCTTTTGTTGCTGCCTGAATGCCTGGTTGAGGCTATGCAGCTGAGCAGCAACAGCTTTCTGTGCGTTCTGCTGCATCCTTGTATCTGCAGCAGAGCCTGCTGCTGCTGCTGCTGCTGCTGCTGCTGCTGTACCTCCTGCGGGGCAAAGCTTCTGTAGCTTCATATCGCATCTATAAAATAACTAAATAAAAAAAAAAACAACAAACACAAACACAAACACACACACACACTATTATATACACATCACACACACAACCATAACGTAACAAATCAACAAACGGACGATGCCGCAGCACCAGCATATATATATATATATATATATATA